AAACCCTAATCTCTCATTCTACACTGTCTTACGAGATAACCCAGGCTCATAGAGAAAACGAAGTTAACTCGAGCAGAGATAATCAATCAACGACGCGAAAACAGAGAGGAGGAGGAGGGTTAAAGTTTACCGGTAGCGAATCTCCGGTGAGTTTCCCGATGGTGTTGACTGGTTTCTGCTTGTGAAGGGAACTTTGACCGTTGTCGTCGGTGAAATTTATGAGCCGGAATTAATGAGGAAGCCAATATAACTCAGCTGGTCAAACTAACCATTCTTAAGAAGACACGTGTCAAGAAGTTTGTTGACTAAGCTGATTAAGCAGCCTTATAAACCAAAATATATATCCACGTCGTCAGTTTATTTATGAAACCTATTTATCTCATTTAAATTGTACACATATTTAGTTTTCATATATTTAATTTTAATAATTAGATATTTAGATCTTCTTCCTTTTTGTGTGGTCAAAGATACTTATTAGATCATTTTATGGAAGCAAATCTTAGAACAAATTTAAGATCGTATATTGAGATTCTACATCTACTCTATCACATATCATCTGCAAAACAGATGAAAAAAACAATTCAAAAGATTAAATAAAAAATATCCCTTAAACTCACTTTTTAGTTTTAAACCTACTAGAAATTCTAAACTAATTACTCTCAGAACTATATTTTACATTGGACATGATACCGATGAGATCTCTAGCAAGTTTTTATTATAGGGATTTTAGGAATTGTTTATTAATCTAGCTGTCAACAAATGATATGTGAGGAATAATTTTTATGAGAGTTAATACAAAAGATTTAAAACAAAAACGCAAATCAGTGTAGTTAGGAAAGGAAAGAACTTGAAAGAGAGACCTAGAATTTAACTTTAAGATAGTGGATTTGTAGGAAAACTGTCTCTATAATTTTCTGTATAGAGTAAATGTTTAAATTTTTTATTATGACATAATTCGTAAATATTAGACGCCGTAAATTAAAGAAAAAAAAAATAGAGTTTGATAAGCATAATAAGAGCTCTGTTTATTCGCTCTTAGGAATATTCAAAGAATCAAGAGAAACATTTNACTCTACCTGAAGATTCAAAAAGTGTACTCAAATAGAACAAAACATTGTCCAATTCCAATCTATGACGCATATATTACAGGGAAAACATGTGAATTTTTCCCACAATTAGAAAAATTTAGTTCCAGAGATATGAGTAATTTTACCATCAATGAGAAATAATATCTCCTACGCTTGAGGTCTACAAACCGAATTGTAGGACGTTTGCTAGATGATGCCTATATATTGGAAAAATAACACATTTAGCGTTAGTGAACTCATTACACAAATCTATGATATTAGAAAACTTTTTCAAAAGAAAGAGTACTAATCCTAATATGGGAGCCTAAACCCTTGCAAACACACGTAAATATTGGAAACAATACAAAAATCCTAAACCCTAAATTCTAACATCAACACCTAAATTTAAATACAAACACNTAAAATTTGTTTTTTAGCAATCATATGCCTTCAAATTCTTTGATTAGGGATGTTAAACCCTAACATGAACGTCTAAACCCTAACCATCCAGATAATCATTTGATGGTTTATAGATAATGCATAAGCTATATGCAAAATATTCAAGTCATTGATTCGTCGTAACATTACCTCTATCAACAATAAAATCTCCACATTATATCATTTCATAAAAAAATTTGATTGATGAGTTAGCGTTTAAGTATTTATTGTTTTTGTCTTTACATAAAGTTTGAAACACAAAAGCTTAATGTTCGAATTTAACAATAAGTTTGGGAGTAACGTCTAGGATTTTGTCAATTTTTTAGATGGAGCGTCTGCGATTTTTCCTCCTTAGCTCTAATTGTTCGAGTCAGATTTTGAGTCCATGTATGGAATCGTAGATTCATTTGATACGTAGGGATTCTATCCTCTTGGTGAGATAGCCACGATGGTTCTGTGCACATGTGTTGGATCATGTATAAGTACTATCGCTAGAAAGATCTTCAGAATTATGAGAAGATATTTTTCTCTTAAGACTCTCTCACGTTCAAGTTAGGTTACCACTGGAGAGTAAATTGATTCAAAAGGTTGTGTATGGATTGTGTCAGAGACAATGTCTCAAGATTATGATCTCTGTATCTCTGTTTGATATTATCTCGTCGTTGTCTTCTTCTACTAAGTCTTGTCTCATGATTCTTGTATCCATCTTCCATTTTTTTTTTCCTTCAAAATCATCTTACTCTCTTTCTGCTAATAGAACTATTAGATGTCGCAATAGTTTTTAATAAGTATATCTATATGAAAAACAATGTTTTCTAAATGGATTTGCGCTAAAATTTTCATTTCTTAGTTGAACAAAAAAAACTATTGCGACATCCAATAGTTCTATTATGAACATGAACATGAACATGGGCCGTGAATTTTCTTAGTTCTATTACTCTCTGTTCGTTTGTTTGTACTAAACTTTTCATTTCTA